ATGAAAAATGCGCAAGTTTCAAAAGTTGCGAAGTGCTCTGCGTCAACTATCGCAACGAAATTGGTTGTTTAACGCCCCGCGCCACGAATCCCAATAAGGGGTGGGGGTGGGGGGGCCGAACGGTGGGAGGGGTCATGCAAATTGATTCGAATGGCACCAGGACCGTTTTAATTTACATTCATAAAGATATTATAAATTCTAATTGGATAAAATTCAAACTCCATTTCGTCCCTCGTAAAAAAGCAACTTTATTGTTTCCACATATTCGCCCGCGCGGGCAAGTTCGGGCGCTAACGAACTTTAATAATGGATGAACTTGCGGAAATAAGTTCGAACAACAAATAATTACTCTGCGCACTTTGTCCTCTCCTCGCGATGCAACGCGAAGTTTTTATATCCCGCAGCGCAACTTCGGCCCTCTGCTTCCGGCTCGTTCCCGAGCGTTTTTTCGAGGTGTTAAAAAAAATAATTTCTTCTCGGTTCGATTTTTACACCAGCTCTTTTATAGCCGAACATTGCCAATCTCCAGCGAATATTTACTCCGAAACCCTCTAATTAAACATTCTTTCAACAATGTGTGCATGTTACTGACAATTGGATTGCATTTTGCAAGAAGGGACCAAGAGCATTCCAATGTCACTGAGATTGTGCAACTTTGTTTGCCTTGCAAATATACACAAATTTTCTAAACAAATTTTATCTTTACTCCCAATATAACTTTAAGACGAAAATTACCTTTGTAAATTTAATTTCTTGCATCATTTCAGTAATTTTATTGAATGAATATAAGATACACAATCTTAGCAACATTGGAATAGTCTTGGTTCCTTTTTGCAAAACGCAATCCAATTATAGTATCCATCAGAAAGAAGGTGGTTTGCATGTCCTCTTGTATAGACAATTATAGGGTCCGTTTATGACTAAATACTTATTTGACCTCTTTTTGGCGGTGAATTAGGGTCCGATCAAGATCAATCACAGTCCAATCAGGCTCTGATCATGAACCGACTTCAAATTATTTATACCAGGGTTGCTTCGACAACTTGAAATTATTTGCGTCGGTGTGAGGATAAGGTTTGATTAATGCTGAGCAGTACCACCCTTTTTAAGAACCGACCTCTATTTCGGAGAAAAAACTTCGTGCACCGAACCCGAAGTTGAAGTCATATGAATCTCTGAAGTTTTTGGATCACACACCCTAGAACTGGAGGTTCAACTGCCGAAGTTTGGGTCAGTCATCTGAAGTACTTAGGGTATGTACTGGAGCACTTCACATGTGTGACACAAGCCCTCCGGTATATACCGAAGTACTTCAGATGTCTGACCGGTTACAGGACATTTCGTCAACGATTTTTATTCCGCGCACCTGTTTTTTCCAGTAATTTACGTCCACGCGTTTTTTCGATACGGGAGTTTTGGTCCACGTGCCAGTTGAGACCCAAAGTTAATTGGCCCATATGTGAATACAAACGACAATTGCTCACGACGTTTTTGGAAAAATATATAATGTCATGGAAGAATGAGGGTTTGCTTGTCCTCTTGTTTTGTCTGGTTTGTCCAACGGAGAATAATATATAGTTGAGAGTTTTGGTAAAAATGGGGGAGCGTCAATTCCATGAGACAAAATTCACTAAAACTCTCTACACCTCTTTGGTGTAACAGGACTTAATTATCTTTCAACAAATTCCCACTTTGTCATACTTGAACCGCATAAACCTCTATATTTACCTCAGTTAAAGGCTCTTAGATTTTTCTTGTGTACGATAAGTATCTTGATTTATTTTGCGAGGAAAGATCTGTACTTTTAAAGGATGCCTGTCATTCTTAATACGTTCAATTTCGTATGATACTATGCAACACCTCTGTTGTGAAACAGTTGCTTCAGACGCCGCCGCACGGCGGGCAGGCGGCCAGCCCGAAACGCGCATTGGCGCCTACAAACCTAAGTGGATACCTCAAGCATTGTGCAATGCGTGCAGTATCCACTTAGGTTTGTAGGCGCCAGTGAGCCTCTCGCGCTGGCAGCACGCCGCTCCGCTCTGTTAGGCTTTAATATTTAGCGTTTTTTTACTCGTGATTTTGAAATGTTAGCACACTCTGCATTGATTATTCTCATTTAAATTGATGGTAAAAAAATATGTATCAATTTATCAAAGGAGAATAATAATATAATGTGTGTTTTTTAAATATTGGTGGTTGGTTCCGTGTCAAATTTAATGATTTCCAGCACTTTATTTTTTCTTTTACATTTTGTGCTTTTATTGTGCGGCGAGGTGTACGCGCAACGAATTGCTCAAAATTTGACGCTTTTGACTCTAAAAGATCGATGCACAAATGGGTTAAAACTAAAGATTGCGTACTTCTTGGATTTTTTTCCTCTTTTATTCACTTTTTCACCAATGACAATTTAAAAAGATGTTTCAAAAGGAGAGAGTAATAACATTTCATTTAGAAAATGAGCAGCCATAACAACACCTCCTTCTCTCTCAATTTCTCATTTCCATATTGTCAATATAATGTTACGTATGGGCGTAAACTCCTGGACGAAGAAGGTGCGCGGAAAAAAAATCGTTGACAAAATGTCCTGACCCGAAATTAGGCAGCTGGGCCTCAAGTTTTCGGATGTGTGTTCCGAAAACTTCAGAGATCCATATGGACTCAACTTCAGGTCCTGTGCACGAAGTTTTTTTTCTCCGTGAGACAGGGTTTGAGATGTTTGAATTATAACTCTATGTGCCTTCAATTCAGAATTCCATTGGGCAAACGGATCACACAACGGGAAGGCTGGCCATCAACTCCTGAACAAGACATAAGTGTTTTCTATCAACATTGGTTAAATGGCAAAACTTCAAATGACGTCATTTGTACAATTGAGCTTCCATTTTATCTGCGGTTAAAAGAATTGTGAATATCTCGTTCGGGAGTTGATTTTTAAACTTCCCATCGGTTGATGCTAGAGAAGTGCGTCAGTTCAAATCAATTTGCTGATTCGTTATAATTTTCCTAATCCAAAACAATATTACACTGAATCACACGTTTGTTCACTTCAATCGGCTCAAAAATTGAATCAGTGAGAACGGAAACACACCAACTCGGTAACACAAAAACGCTCAATTTGTATTACGGACAGTCAATTTTCATAAAGGTCATTGGAGTTATTACATCTGTTCCAACTTGGACCTTTCAAGTGTCCTTAAGTGCTTGTCTCTCGGCACCAAAAATATTTTTCTTAAACTAACTCCTTCACCTACCGTGCAGTTTTGTGTGCGTCTTGATAATTTTCATTTTTTCGAGTTGGTGTATTTTCGTTCTCACTGATTCGATTGTTGTCTCGGCTGTAGCAAACCCGTTTATTTAGTGTTACTTTTCATACGGATTTTACAGCGCGTCGCTGAGCCGCCAAAACGGAAACGAAGATAACTTCCAGGAATGGCACCAGGAGGAGGAACTCCGCAAGTAAAAGTTTCCACCTGTCGCCAGGAGGCTTGAAGAGGGCCTCTATTTGTCTCCGGTCATGATGTCTGGGGCCATTTGTCAAAGTAGCGTGATCCGTCCCCCGATGGACCCCCCCCCCTTTTTTCGCCCCCCACCCCGATTCTTTTTCGGGTGCCAGTGCCCCGAAGCTTTCTTCGCAGACGGGCGCACGATTAATCTTACTTTGTCTTTTTTCTCTGTCTATTAGCAGAGCGCTTTTAAACTTTTAACCCCCTCTCCCCACCTCCAACCATTGTATCACTCCCCTTATCGGACTATCGTCGTGACCATTGCTTCTCGACGGATTCGACTCCTGCGTCTCCTCTATGACGCCAGATCGGATGGTGTCGAGACACGCGGACTCCGCACTGAAGAAAATCTCGGTGTATTTACTAAGAAAAGGGTGAAATTACCAAGAATTTAGAGTTCTATTTGATCCCAGTTATTTCTTGGTAAAATTACCATTTATGGAATTGGTACTTTTACCGAGAAATCTCGGTAAAATTATTGAACTTTTTCGGTGATTTTACTGGATCTTGGTAAAAACGCCAATATTTTTTATCGACTGTGGTAGAATTACCGAGATAAAATGGCAAAATTACCGGGAATTGATTACCAATAATAGTAATATTCTTACCTGGAAAAAACAGTAAAAATACCGGGTTTTAGGTAATCTTACTAGTCTGTCTCGGTAAAATTACCAGTAATTTGAAAAAAAAATGAGATGGTAAAGGTACCAATGGACCTTGATAAAAACGCCGAGAATTTTTTTTAGTGCTGTGTTTTTGTAGTCTTCAGTAATCCGGAAACTGCGTTTTGAAAATGGTGAGAATTGAGAAAACCAAAATGACCGTACCGGATTTTTTTAAAACGATGAAGACTGTAGTTCATCATGCTATTGGAATTTGCGCGTTATGAAGCGGGCAATGCATGAGAAGGAGGAACTGCGATTAAAATGACCTAATTAGTAGTGTTTCATATTAACTCATAATCAATATTAACCATACCCTGAAGATAGTGGTGTTCTCACCATTGGAAGATAAATTTGCCAATGTTAGGAAACTTATTATTTAACTGTGAAAGTATACCACCGGTTTTGGTTGAGACCACTTAATGATTAGGAGTCCATATTTTAGAAGGCCTCTAATTTTGTAATTTTAATCATAATTTTTTTCCAGCGGCCTTGACACGCACTTCTCTCATGATAGAGGTTCAATTCGCGCTTCGGGTTAAAGAGGAGCTAAAGAGCTCTTCAGGTTAAAAAAAAAGAGGATGGTGTGAGACGGAATATTTGTAATATTCAATCATTTAACTGTTTGTTTTAAAGTGAAGGATTTTGATGGTAAGATTAACCGGTAATATTTTGATTCCAACGTCAGAATCTTACTTCCATCTTTGTCTTTCATGAAATGTCTCATATTTTCAAGTTCTTTCGAAAAAATTCTTAGGCTTTATGGAAAGTCAAATGTGTGAATCTAGCTCTACTTTTCAAAATCTTATAATCGGATATTGTACTCCTGTTTCAGATGCCGGCAAATTACCGTTGACAGGAAATATATTGCCGTCCACTACTAATAGTTGTTGACTAACACAAAGGTAAGAATGAACTCACCATAAATTATGCTCCCGCATGCACAACACATTACACGTATCGAAAATTCTTAGGATTCATTCACGATAAGACATTAGTGTTTATTGTTTGTTACGACGAACAAAATTTCTCACGAAAAGAATTATTTGCTAATTGCCATACTAATTACAAAATCTCACCGGTTGAAATGGTCAAAATGGTCATGCATGTATGTTATTGATCAACATAGTCAATGATCATATGGCAATACTGCCGCGCTGGAGAAGCACCCCTCATGAGCCCTCAGACGTTGCCAAACTACCTTCGGCAACACGAATTTTCGGAGGAATATAGATATTTTTCCTACATATTGTCCGGGAATTTCATTCGTAATTTGATTGAACACGTCTGAAAATTTGAATAAAAAGTATTCATAACATATCTCAAAAATAAGTATTCTCTGAGAGTAAATTTGACTACATTTGAATGTTCATACGGCGTTTTTCCTTAGCTCGGTAAAGTGAGTCAGCGACCAGCGATCAAGAATCAGCAAACAATGGCTGTATTGACCATTCTTTGACAGTTAAGCTTCTCTTCAAAACAATAACAATTTAAACAACGGGTAGCGAGGCTAATTTTCACATAAATACCACCGAAACGTTTCCCTTCCTCGGTTGGACAGACAGTAAAATGTTTTAAAAAACTATAAACATAGTACTCGGCTGTACTTTTCAAAACGAGAAAAGTGTCATGCAAAAACAGTTCATAATAATGAAGTTCATAGGAAAATGTTCATATCAACATTTTTCTCGTTTTGAAAGGTACAGCCAAGTACTTGGTTTTTAGTTTTTTAAAGTGTTTTAACTGTTTTTATCGAACTGCGGAAGGCTGAGTTGTCAGCCGAAGCGTTTTGGTGGTATTTATGAGAAAATTAGGCTTGTTACCCGCTGTTTAAGGGTGGTTTCACGATAACTGGAATAGTTTTGTCGCCGTAACAGACAACACATGTTTCGGCCATATTTTTAGTAGTAATGATAACCATTCGAATTTGTTTGCATTATTGATCTACACACGGTTACGTGTTATAACGTTTTTAAAGATTCATTGCTCTACTTTTCACTTTTTGTGTATGAATGGCCGAAAATGTGCTGTCTGTTACGCTAACTCTTTACCGCGTAACAGACAGCACATTTTCGGAATTTACATAATATTAATTGAGAAGTAGAGCAATATATCATTAGAAAGCGTTGTAATTCGTAACCCTCTGAAGATTAATGCGAAAAAATTCGAATGTTTATCATTTCTACTAAAAATATGACCGAAAAATGTGTTGTCTGTTACGGCGACAAAACTATTCCAGTTATCGTGAAACCACCCTTAAATCGTTATTATTATATACATATGTATCTTGTCACGGGCTGCGAAGCATCAAACATATCTCTCTTCGTCAAATGTTATCAGTGCGACTAGAGCTGCTTTTAAAATTTCTCGAATATTTTCCGAGAAGTCCTCGATATTATTACGTCTCCTCAAGTTTTTACTGATCATCGGCAGACGATGGGACGCTCTGATTTCCACGTTGACTCCCAACTTTTCTTCGCCAATAAATTATTCAATTAGAAGTCCTCAGCTCGGGCCAGGGTGGAGGAAACGCCCCGCCAACAGTGGCGTGGCGTGAATTGCGATGTATCGATTGTTATGCCATTTAAGCCTATGGTTAAGAATCGATTATTAAGGTGTTCACTGCGAACACCCTGTTTATCGATCCTTTTCCATACGTTTAAATGGCGTAATAATCGATATATCGCAAAGTACGCCACGCCACTGCCCGCCAAGTAATTTTAAAATCTGCTCTGACCCGAGAAAATCACGGTTCCGTTCGAGGCTTGCCTCTCCGACTTCCATTCCTCCCGATTTAATTCACCGCGATTAGTTTCGGGCCCGATTGTCTGCCCCGAGTTTTGCGCCCTTAAATCAGGGTAAACAGCATTCTGATGAAGCGGCCCGGTGTTTGGTTTTCACTTTGATTTCCACCCCGAATCATTCTGGTCGAGAACTTTCACGAGGCTCGGTCACCGAGGTGAACAACCGATTGAACTTGCAGTTTATCGGTCGAGCTTAGAGATTAGAAACAAAATGCTCATGGAGACTTGGAACCGACAACTTCCTAGAGAGCAACATTTACTTCCGGGGGTCAATGCCCATCTCTAAAGTCACGTAACGAAAATTTGCTGCATGTGTATCAAATAACCTTTTTTGTGTATTGAGTCAAGAGACATTGGACTTATGATAAACTGAGGAAGTGGTGAGTTATTCGATGGTGTCATCTAACTTTTTTTACGTCCAGCGTCTGAGACGGATAACATACTCCGGTTGGAGTCTCAACCTTGAACTGATCACTGGAAAAAGTAGCTTAGATCTACAGTCCAGACTTATAAAAACATTGACAAGAAAAAGTACTCTTGATAAAATTGGACTTTTTGCTTGAATAAAAAGGAAATCCGCCTAAATTCAGAGGCTCGACTCTTCGATTCAAGGAAAAATCGGATTGAATCAGTAGCATTTTTTCTTGTCAATGTTATTAAGAGTCTGGACTCTAGGTCCAAGCGACTTTTTTTTCAGTGGTTGGTGCGAAACACGACTTTTCGAACAATTTTGTACGCGCAATTTAATCTGAAATATCTGGAAATTTCAAGGAAACATATGTATGAATGTCCTCAAAAATACATATTTTATCAAGGAAAATTCGGCAACTCTCAAAGGTTCATATGACGTTCTTCCTTAGCACGGCAGCAAAAGTAGCTCACCTTTGACAGCGAATTCTCCTCCTCAACGCTCGCTACCATTTTTTGCGTGAGAGGTGTAACTGGTCGATCAGGCTCCCCTCTCTGAGAGTTAAGTTCGATTTCCGGAGAAATTGACTCTAAAGGCATTTTATCGTCAACAAGGAGACCGTTTCGACTATTTCCCGGCCCAGAAGTTGGTTATTTATGCATCCGTGGCGCTTTCGTTCCCCGCGTAAATGTATTTCACCCTGAGCTTCGGAGCACAACAGCTCACTTAAAATAATCGAAGATTTCCCTCCTTACGAAACTCAACCGGGGTTTTTCGGTTTTTTATGAGTCCGAACCTTGCGCAAGGGCGCATTTTACCGGGTTTTATGTGCAGAGTTGTCATTTGGAGGTCAAAATCCTAGCTTTTGAGGTGTTATAATAAGGAAGAATTCGTACTATTTTAAATCAAAGATTGAAAATACAATGAAATATGCCATAAAATCTTATCAAACCTATTCCCTCACTTAAAAGTTGAATCGATGGCTGAAACGCGAGACCACGTATATCCGTTCCGGACGTAGTGGACTTTCAATCATACTTTATTTTTTCCTCGGAGAAGTTGGCCTGTTCCTCATCAAAAAACTTAAATGTAAGCGGAGATTTTGAAACACCGCAATGGAGCAGATACGTGGTGTCGGACTTTAGCCTTCGATATTGATTCCGATTATACTTAAATTTAATATTAAATTAAAGTTGACAAAGATACAGTTAAATAAAATATTTGAATATCATCAGTGAGATTTGCATCAAAGTCGCAAGTAAGGTAACGCCAAAAGCACCATTCGCTATGACCAATCGAATGCAATACTCGCGTTTGCATACTTCCTCTCTGAAGAACGAGAGGAGAGAGACACAACAAGTGTGCGCGCGCATATAGTACGATTGCGAGATGATACATATTCTTCTTTTAAATGGCTTGGATATTGTATTGGATATGAGACTTTGAATAATGCACATCGTCTGCTGAATTTCGTATCGATGTTCAACCTGTTTTATTTTAAATCAATTGATCAGAGTCAATTAAAAACTAAAGCTATTCTGGTCAAATTGTTCATCTGTAATACAGCCATCGATGAAAAAGAAGCAGTCGAAGACGTGTAAATCAAAAGAGAAGGCTGGAAAATGAGAAACAAATTACCGTGATCTACCTCGGCGTTTTCTCATGGAATGTATATCGTCTGCTGAATTTCGTATCTATGTTCAACCTGTTTCATGTTAAATCAATTGATCAGATTCAATTAAAAACTAAAGTAACTTCTGGTTCAAATTGTCATCTTTAACACAGCCATAGATGAAAAAGAAGCAGTCGAAGACGTGTAAATCAAGAGAATTAAGGCTGGAAAATGAGAAACAAATTACCCTGATCTACTTCGGCGTTTTCCCATGGAATGTACATCGTCTGCTGACTTTCGTATCTATGTTCAACCTGTTTCATTTTAAATCAATTGATCAGAGTCAATTAAAAACTAAAGTGACTTCTGGTTGAAATTTTCATCTTTAACACAGCCATAGACGAAAAAAAAGCAGTCGAAGACGTGTAAATCAAAAGGGGAGGCTGGAAAATGAGAAACAAATTACCGCGACCTACCTCGGCGTTCGCTCATCATCCATCGCGCTCTCCCGTATAGCCGAACTTTTTCGAGACGTAATTCCTGCGGAAATTCAATCACGTAAGTTGTCGAACGTTTTTTTCTTGATGGCGTTTCTGATTGCGTGCACTTCCAGCAGGCTGCTTGCTGCTCGAATATAAAAAGTTAAATAAGATTCCAACGTCTAGTCTAGAAACTCCTCCTGGAAGTTTCTCCATCCGGATTGTCCTTTTTTTGCCTTCAAACTTGGATCTTTTAATCTGCGAGGCGGGGATGTCTCCCTTTTGTTTTTTGTAAAACTGGAATTGCAAAATTCTATGTTTGAAATAAATCTGTATTGATTATACTCAGATTGAATCAGACGCACCACAAAGAGAAACTAAAGCTTCTCTTCAGAAGGTGATCGTTAAACCCATGTACTGAAAATTTTTCAATGGAGATGTTGCATTTGTGAGGAATTTGCAATTTGACCATTGATTCTAATGTAAAATTTTGTTAGAAACACGATGGTGCCACTGGTTTTCTCTTAAATCAATTCCCAAGCTCAAAAAAGCTCTCAAGTTGAGGCCAAAATGAAAGGGAAATCCCACGCTATCCTGAGCG